AACTTGCAGTATAGTGTCCACGTCACAGGATGCAAAAGACAGAGGCTTGTCAGAAAAACAGACACAGGTTGGGGTCTGCACGGAGGTCAAAACGGGCCCCATTGTCACAGCGTCTGGATTGTCAGTGTAGGGACAGTATCTGCAGCGTGTGCAGTCACAGCTCATGATGGAGAGACATCAGTGAGTGCTCTCTGCCTTATCCCCAGTGCTTTGGTTTTGGAAATTATTCAGCAGGCGGCCTGGGGACCATGAATACTGGTCCAGTCAAGCAAATATATGCATTAGGTTCAAAAGCCCACACGAACACAAAGGTCCTCAATTCTGAGAATTCACAGGCTAAGAATTTGGGAATGTTTGTTTCCTTTCCCCTGAGCTCCTGGATTTCCCTACTTACTTGAAATAAACAATACCTCTGCATTGTACAGACAATGGTTGGCTCTGGATTATCTTCAGCATTTCCTTCCAGAAAGCAAAACCACTACCATTTTGCATCAAAAAGAAACCAGACATCTGCTGGAGTTATGACTGCATATGGGTTTATACTGAAATAAGGTCTTTTCTTCTCAGTAGATGAGCGATCTGTATAAGCTCAAGCCTTACTACAGTGATTGCAAACAGTTGTGAGAGTACCCAGTATTTCATATTTGAGATAGGCTAGTTGTTTGTGATTGGTCATGAAAAGTGACACAATATTGTTTCCAGTCCCAGACTGGAGGAGCGCACTAGCATTCCGTGGCAGAGGAAACATTTTGTTTTCATGGCAAACACTCACACAAGTAAAACTCAAACATCTGTGACCAGGCCAAAGTGAACTGATTAGAAACTGTGAACAAATATCCACGGACTACAGCATGTCAGGAAAGGTATACTCAATCCTCCTGCATCAGGGTGTCCGAGGGGCTCAGGAAACCATTTCCACTCCCTCCCTGCACCTGTCAACAGATTTGCAGAGTTATCTGGGCAGACAATAGGGATTATTTGATTTCCTCTGCAGCAGTGAGCAGTGCCATAGGCTGGACCTTGGAGTTTATGGACCAATAGAAGGTGTCGATCCAGTAAGATAACATTTTACATAACTCTCACATTTAAAAATATGTTTATTTTTGCACCAAAAAAAAATCCTTAAAAAACCCTATTATTTTATATTTGGTTTTCAAAGCTGTCTCTCCCTGTGTGTATCTAAGGGCTGGTCCACACTAACCCCCCAGTTCGAACTAAGATACGCAACTTCAGCTACGTGAATAACATTGCTGAAGTCGAAGTACCTTAGTTCGAACTACAAGGTACTTACCGCGGGTCCACACGCGGCAGACAGGCTCCCCTGTCGACTCCGTGTACTCCTCTCGCGGAGCAGGAGTACGGGCATCGACAGCGAGCACTTCCAGGATTGATTTATCGCGTCTAGACAAGACGCGATAAATCGATCCCAGAAGATCGATTGCTTACCGCCGAACCCGGAGGTAAGTATAGATGTACCCTAAGATACATGTTACCGCCCAGAAAATGAAATGTAGAGCTTGAAACACTGGAGATCGTACCTGCAGGCATGGTTCTTGCAAAGACAAAGTTGGAAGCACTGCACCCAAGTGTGTCTGCTTCATGGTTGCAGCTGTGAATATCAATACGGTAAAGAGTAAAAGGCTGGAGGTGCGAGATGAGCGTCCTCTCCCGGCCCTCCACTTTGCTCTCATAGAATGGATATTCCATCTCGCTCTCCTCCACATCAGACACATTGGCGAAGTGATCTGGCACCGTTGTGTTCTTGTTCCTACTGGCAACAGTGGTGTTTGCGATTCGGAACACATCCCTGCGCTTCCGGTCAGGTCTGCAGAGAACAAAGGGCAATATGTGGAAACAGGTCGTTTTAATGTATTAAACTTCTCAACTGATCGTCAGGGAAGGCAAGAGAAAAATTTAAGTCAGAAAATATGTATCTAATCAGCTTACAGAGAGACAGACTATACAAATGAAAGAATAAGGAAGCCACTAGATGGACTTCATTCTTTATCTGAATCTACTATATGTTCAGCACATTCCATTTCTGACTGCTTTGGAAACAGACCCAAGCTATCTGAGGCTCCAGTTCTAACCCAAGATAAACATGCACAACCTTCCACTGTGCGAGCCCCACTGAGGTCAATGTTTTGAATGGCAAAAATGTGCCCAAGGTTGTTACATGAGCAAACCGGATCCATATTTAATGACGGTGATGCTGAAATAAAATAAAATCAGATGGTACACGTTTAAAAGCTCCCCCCCCCCCACAAAAATCTGAAAGGATATGAATTGTACAGCTCCAAGGGTCCAGTTTTTTATTTTCTGGTTACGATGAAAGCAATTAAAGGCTGCTTAATTTACGGTGTTGAGGAGGCCAACCAGGGATAAACTAAAAACTGTGGAAGATAACAGCTGTGCCCTTATGGACGTCATTTCCCCAGCATTTCTCAAACCTATCTGTAACGAAGTCTCTCACTGACCAACCTTCTGATTTGAGAAAAATCAGCACCATCTAGGCAGGTGTGTACTGAAATGAGGCACTAAGCAGCTTTGCAAATCAGCAGCCCAAGGAGATTCTCAACACAGAATGAGAGCTAAAGTTAACCAGTGTACACTAGTGGCTTGATTTTCTTGCATTGTTCTGTGTTTTACTAGCAACAGTCAGTCACTGGACAGGTTTGGCTTTTGAGAGATGTCTGTTAACAGCTTCTTCATTTTGTAAGGGAAGTGGTGGGCAAAGGAACATGAGCATTGTATTAGCACAACACAGGACATGTAAAAGATATAGAAAATAGTAAGTACGTGCCTCAGAAAAAGGAGCTTTTTAATTTTGTCTGTAAAGTTGCATGTGAACCTATGGAACTATGGAAATAAAACGAACATTTGTAGTAATCTATGTATTCAATTAAAAAATGAGTGATCTACTGCAATGATCCTGCAGTTTCTGTTGTTTCACGTTTTAGAATTGGCAGTGCAGACAGGCCCTTTTTTGTCAGTATAGTTGTCAACATGGGGACACGGTGTACATGATAAAATGAATCTAGCTACCACACATCACTGTTACACATCAGAGGTGTTGCATGTTCTTCAGTTTGGGGTTTGGGTCTTTGTTCTACACAGGAACACAGACCACGTAAACAGGATGACCGTTTCCAAATGCTCCAATCTTAATCCATCAAGTGTTCTTGATTTAGATTTGAATTAACAGAATACTGAAAGAGGTGGCAGGGAGAGAAATCAGGGAAGAATCTACACCAGAAATATTTCCTTCATTGTACCACACTTCACATTATACCACTTACACAATGATCGTCTATTACTAGGCCAGTGCTGGGTCTATATCAAATTACTACAGTGAGGCAATGATTTCAACATATTCCCAATCAAGGAGTGGGCATTAAGAACGGAAAAAGTACCCCGTCAATTAGGAAACATATTAGATCAGAGAAATAGCTCACTATGAAATAAATAGTCTTAGAACATTGAACCATATCAAAGGGTTCATCAGAGCTGCGTGCCAAACAACTGTGGGCACATTTGGTTTTGAAACCTATTGGCAGAGGAGTTCGCTAAGGCCAAGCTTACAACGGAAAAGCTACGCCTCTAGAAGAGCACTCGTGTAACCGCGTTATGCTGGCGGGAGAGAGCTCTCGCATCAACATAATAAAACCAGCTCAAACGAGTGCTTATGCTAGCAAAACTTATGGCGCTCGGCAAGTGTTCTTTTCACACCCCTGAGCGACAAAAGTTTTGCCGACACAAGTACTAGTGTACACATGGCCTTAGATTCTCCCACATCCTAATGAATCTCAGGTTGCATATATGTGACTCTCACAAGGCAGGCAAACCGCAGCACAAGTATCAACTAATAAATATGAAGACAAGGAAAGGACTACCTGTGTTATCAAGCAACACACCCCATGTGATTAACTCAACTCAGGGCTTGTCTATAAGACCAAAGGCAAACTGGGGGGCAAATCTACCTCGCACTAGCCTGCCATGTGCTAAATTGCTGCATGGACACTGCCGCCGTGCTCTAGAAATTCCCTAGTGTGCTCTGACCTACTCCCATTTCAAAGCTGAGTAAATCACAGCACAACAGGTAACTCTTAGTGCGAGGTGGCAGCAGGTGCATGGCAGGTTGGCGCAGGGTAGATTTACATCCCAGCTTGCTGTGAATGAAGTGTTGGTAGAGACAAGTTCTTAGTAAGTCTACAGCATGAAATGGGAGAATTTTATAGCGAACAAAAGCAGACACACCGTCTCTTTGACAACAAGCATCACTGGAGAAGTCACCAGGCCTGTTTGCTGTGCTTTGGTAGAATCATCGTTCATCCCCTAATTCCACTGCAGAGAATAAACCTTTGGACCAGCATAAAAGAACAAGGATGCCCGCTCTTGAATTAGAGAACATTTGCGCTTGTGACAAAAAGCAGTGAGATTGGAAATAAAAATCAACTACAAAGTCATATGTTGATGCAAGAACACATCCTGACAACCAAACAACCAGAAGGAGTGACCTTACCTACCACCACGTTTACAGGATGTGTTAAGATTCTCTCTTTGACAGTCTCTGAAAAATTTAAAGCAGGGTCCTACATTTACTTTGAAAAAGAGAATAAAAACACAGAATGCGCGGGCGAAAAAATACAGTCACGTTAGGGAAAGAGAGAGACCCACATATTAACCACAAGGCAAACAACTAAAATACTGAGGGATCTGACATCAATGACTTTCTGTCAAGAAGCTGCCAACTTTGCTGGAACACCCAAATGAGGAAAAAATTAGTACCCAAGAAACTAGACAGCCAAAAATAAAGGAAGGTTTTGGGGGAAAAGGCAAGTAAATCCATCTATGTTCTGACATAGGGAGGAGGGGATAACAAACAATGAGAAAATAAAATCACTGAAAAGAAAAAGGAGATCTTTAAAAGAAATGGATATGTCAGTGCAAAATCTAATTACCTTCTTAGGGTGTGTCTACACTACTGTCATTATAGCAGCACAATGATGCTACAGCTCTGCCACTGTAGTGCCATACCATAGGCACTTCCTAAATCGATGGAAGGGGTTTTTCCACTGATGTAGGTCATCCACTTCTCCAAGAAGCGGTAGGTAGCTAGGTCAATGGAGTCAAGTATCAGAGGGGTAGCCGTGTTAGTCTGAATCTGTAAAAAGCAACAGAAGTATTGGGAGCATAAGCTTTCGTGGGTAAGAACCTCACTTCTTCAGATGCTTATGCTCCCAATACTTCTGTTAGTCTTAAAGGTGCCACAGGACCCTCTGTTGCTTAGGTCAATGGAAGAATTCTTCTGTCAACTTCGCCATATCTACACAGGGATTATGTTGACCTACCTACGGTGCTAAAGGTGTGAATTTTTTCACAGCCCAGGGCATTGTAGCTATATTAATTTAATTTTTAAGTGTAGACCAGGTCTCTGACTATGTGCGAATTGTAAAGTTACAGCTTCTCAGATGCTGAGTGTTACTCGGTTACCACTAGAAAACAAAAGGAAAGCTGCAGAATACTGGCTCTTGCAGTGCTGTAAACGCAGCTCCAAGAGCAATAAAAATTATCTTGTCTCGGCCCTACCCTTCCTGCTGTAATGCTGTACGCCGGGCCCTTTAGAAATCACAAACAGGCCAGGGCAGGATGATGTAACGACACAGATGTATTGGTTTTTAAGCAGCCTGAAAACCGCACGGTCAGACCCTTTTATTTACATGCTGTGCTTCTTTCATAACATCCCAAAGACAGGCAAGACCCAGGTAGAAAGCTGGAAACATAATACACTTCTAATGAGGCTTGTGTTGACACATGAATTAACTTCCCCCTCAGGGAAAAGAAAAGAAAAAAAAATAGACATCTGCAAGTAAGAAGTTGCTCAGATTTGTCCTATGGAGAAATCTCACCAGGTCATAATCTCACATTTCCCTGACATTCAGACTTCTTAAAAGTCACTTAACTAACTCAGCTATTTACAAGTCTTATATCTTATCTGATCCTGCTGTTAAATCACTGAAAAGAAAAATATACCCATTATGAAAGCAAGCTGAGTAGGGGGAAAACTGTAAAACATTCAAGGCATTCTTTATGAATTGCTCCCATTTAAGTTTTAAAACAGTGTAAATCTACAGCATGTAAAAGATTGCTAGTAATTTGTTCCTGCCTCTGTTCAAGGTTTACTTTTCTCTTTTTTTAAAATTAGTCCAAGAAAATTTACCATCAGACAAAATGAATGTCATGTTTCAAATGCCTGAAAGCTTTGGTTAAATGGAAAAATACTTTTCCTCCACAAAACTAATATCATGTCACTTCAGGCAATTTATAACGTGCGTGTGGTTTCCAAACCTGTCGTGCAGTGGGCCGAAGTCCGAATTCGTTTACTTCATAAGGTGTTGCTCAGGATTAACACAACGATTGGTTATTTCAGGATCTGGTCTGCTAACTTATCAGCAGTGCACACAAAATTGGAGTAAATCAACAACGGTTCAGGACAACAACTAGACACTTCCACCAAGAAGCAATATTATTTATTATTTGTACTGGGGTAGTGCACAGAGGTCTCAATCAAGCTCAGTGACGCACTGCAATAGCTGCTGTACAACCCCCAGGTAAACATGGTCCCTGCCCTGAAGTCCTTACATCAGTGATACTCAAACTGACGCTCCTTAATGTGTCTCCTGTGGCTCTTTGCAGCACATGATATTAAAACACTGTGTGATTTAATTATTAACCAATCTAAGTTATTAACCAATCAGGATACTTTTACTATGTTATTAACCAACTGTAGACTAGTTGGTCAGTCATTTTGCTGTGAGAATATTATATAGAGAGAGCCAAATTAAACAACGAATTCACACTACTGTGGCTCTTTTGAGTAATGCTGATCGGTAATTTGGCTCCTGACACTCAGGTCTGAGTGTCACTGCCTTACACAGTCTAAGAGCGTCTTAAATAAGATCTTTACAAGTTAAAGAAAATTCTTCTGTTTTCAAACTTATCACTCAGTCTTGTTTTTTTCATGAAGACCACACCTGAACACTTTCCCAAGCCCCATTTAATGCCAACTCCACCTACGCCTCTCCAGCCAAGAGAGACAATGAGACTACATGCACGATCAAAGCTGAAAACTGATTGCTTACATAGTAGTGTTACAGCTACACACAGTATGCTGGCCTTGTGATCCAATTATCTTAAGTAAAAACAGCTTACAAAAGAGGTAATTTAGAAACTCAAGCATCACAACCACTGATGAATTCAATAATACCTGCTCCATGATGCCATATAAAATGGAGCTTAATGGATATGTTTCTACTTAACATGTAAGCAGCACCCTTTATCATGAAAGAGTGTGTACATTTAATTCTTGGTTACAGTCAAAGCCCAGGAAACCAAGACACACTTCTTAATTAGTGCAGAGACATAAATTAGAAAGGACAAGCATTTCTAATTCTGCAAGGCCCCCAATATTCCTTTAATTTCCAAACCAGGTACATCTTCAAGATGAGTTACCTATGCATTTAAAAGGCCATTTAGAGAAAAAAAAATGTTTGAAGCCAGTTCTCTGCTGCGGGTTGATCATCCTTGAAACCCTTACAAGTGAAGAACTGTTACATAACCTTTGATTCCACAAAGGAGCAACCACAAAGAAGGTCCTTGAACAATGTAGGTAAGGACCATTATGATTAGTTAAAATAGGGAGAGAGAGCTAAGAATCAGTGAAGAAAAGCAGCTATGAAATAGAAAGACTGTAGATCACCTCTCTCCTTACATGAGGCAGTGTTTATGTGCTTACGGTTCGATTAAAAAATGCTTTCATGGGTATATACCAAGGGCCCCAGGAAATATCACCGCTAGTCCCCACCTATAAACACAGCAAAGATCCAGCTTCTATTACCTGGGCACAAAGATGGAGTTATGCAGGAAGTTCTCAAAGACTTTCCGGTACTCTGCCTCCTCCTTCTCAGCCTGCTTCTCTGCCTCTGTCTTGGGGCAAGCACAGCAAGGTCCTTTTTCTCCCCCACTCCCTTCTGGCTTGGTGGGTTCGGTAGCTTCTTCTGTATCAATGGTCCCATCAGCATATCTCCGAATTGGGACTTTATCTTTAAAAGAAAAGACCAGATGTTGAGGTTTTCTCCCTAACCGCCAGCGGGTGCATTAACAATCCATGTTCGCCCTTCCCCCATACTGGCTGTTATTCACAGAAACATCAGAGAAGAGCGAGCTGCAGCTGCATTTGCTGGTCATGTGAATAATGAGGACTGACAGGTATGAATCTCAGGCATTTTAACACAACTGCTTTCAGCTCCCTTACCTTTGGAGCAGTAGTTATGTCGGTAAAGATAACTGTCCTGAGGCTGCTGCTGCCACCGTACAATATAGTAGGACAGGTTGCCATTGGGGAGAGAGGGTGGATTCCATTTCACTATTAGCTGAGAAGAGGCATTAGATGCGGAAATAACATCCAGTGGGATAGATGGCACTAGGAGTGGAAAAGGAACAGGGGGGGGGGGAAAAATAGGCATTTTTACACACAACTCATTGAAATATAAAAAGCTGAGAAACAATGCCTCAATTAACTGCTCGTCCCACCTCAAGGGAACGAAGAAGGCTGCTGACTCCCCTTGGCTAACAGATGTGAATGTTTTAAAAGCCACCACCCTACAGCAGTGATCTGATGTACTCAACAACTTTCCTTAATGTCTAAGGGCCAAGTTTTGCAATCCGTACGAAATAATATCCAAAAACATACACATACATTTCTTGAGAGGTCTGATGAGATTGAGGTTCTAACTGGACTTTCTACCTCTAAATATTTTACAGAGTTTATACGGTCTTGGACAGGCAAATCCCACTGATCAAAATTTTGAATTATTTTACTTAATTTTACTTAATTCTCTCCTTGTTTGATTCACACCCTGAAAATAGACACATCTTGTATGTTTGCTATTATGCTATATGAATAATGGTGGCTGTTCTCAGCTAGCATTTGTGTAGAATATATTGAAAAAAACTCAAAATATATAGGGTGGGTTTTCTCCTGAATTTGAGCAAACAAAAAGTTGAGTTGCCTCACTCAACATTGCCAGAGAGACTTGTTGAATTCAAGGTTGAAAAACATATCACTCTCTCAAATTTCTCTCTCTCGCCTTCACACATTTCAGTGGACAAATGGTGAAAGAGGCTCTTTAGCAGTAGTGCAAGAGGCCTTTTCACCAATGCAGCGTCATCATCTTGGGGATCTCTACAGCTTAAGGTCTCCAATGCTTGCTCCACGGCATGCACTAGAAAACCAAGAGCTTTAAAATAAGAGCAAAATCCCAATTGCTTTAGAAGATATAGGGCAAAAAAGAGACTTCAAATCCTATAACACGCAGGATTACACACATGTGAAATATAACAATTTGGAACACAGCTGAGACTAACAGGTAGACAAGATGACCTGATGTTCACTGCCTTCCAAAAATCAAACATTTAAAAACAATGTGTTTGTAGATCTCAAAATTATGGTTTATTCGAAAGGCAGCCAACACTTAAAATAACAGCCAGCTTTTATCCTATGCACCTCACTGTAGTATCTGGGTACCTGAGCTTCTCCCATCCCTGGTTTCAGAAATTACCTTATCAAGCTATCTGGTTTTTTTTAATAATTCATCTTTGATGCCAGGCTATTTAAATGTCCCACTCATTTTGGAAGCTATTTGTGGTCAAAAGGTGGAGCTGAATCAAACATGTTCACCTGATGTTGTGTTGTAGTGGTCAGCATTATGACTTAAAGGCAAGTACATAACTGTGAAAAACAGACACCCTGTGTTCCTCTCCGTATAGCTGACAAACAGACCCTTGTCTGCCCTCATTGGAATGTTTTCTGGGAGGAATATTACAAATAAATTATAAATAAATAAATTAATGGAGATATCCCATCTCCTAGAACTGGAAGGGACCTTGAAAGGTCATCGAGTCCAGCCCCCTGCCTTCACTAGCAGGACCAAGTACTGATTTTTGCCCCAGATCCCTAAGTGGCCCCCTCAAGGATTGAACTGACAACCCTGGGTTTAGCAGGCCAATGCTCAAACCACTGAGCTATCCCTCCCCCCAATGACCCACTCCATATGCTAAATGAATACCTACTTATGACAATTACATCACAGGAATTAAATATACCAACAATGTGTCTCATA